GAACTTGTCTGAAATATCCGCACTCCCCCGCACTTACTTACTATCTACTTGACAGCGCACACAGCAGTTGTCCATAATCACACCATCATTCTACCATGCTCGTTAGTCCAATTCACGAAATATTAAACTTATTTGTGATAAACTCCATTGTAAATCCTCTAGTCGTCAATGTTTTTCATGACTATTTTTTAAACCATGGCAAACTATTCTATACTAAATTATATACTAAGCACTTGTGAAAGTCAACGTTCAAATACATACAGACTGCTACAATGTTTTCGCCTGCCCAAAGAGGGGACGGAGCCACCATTTACCAGTGGGGCCCTGCCACATTTGGAAATGTTAATTGTTTTTACAATTACATCTAGTGTGCGTTAACATTTGTAGGTATGGTGCACCGCCATAATGTAGGTGGCCATTTGTTAAAGAAAAATGCAAAAATTTCTGCTTTTTGCAACAGCTATACACCAAGTCCAGTAATCTACAGATTGTGCAAATTAACACATGGAACAATAAGTGTGAAACGTAACTACAACAAATAATATATCATACCTTATATGGGCAGATCAATTGTAACAGTAACCAACCGCATCATGATATCATTCCCCGGGGATCTATTTGATCCCTTATCTTGGAATACAATGTGCCTGTTGGAGTAGTTATTATTCACTTGAAATGTTCTGCTGTAAGGCTCGAGGGATGCAATGATTTTACATTTTGATGTTATGATAATAGTCTGAGGAAACATCACCTTTGTCAGGGTTTTACAATTATTACACTAAGGATAGATGAATGTGTACTTATAATTCGAGGTTTTATAGGATTTTTCCACAACATTTTTGGCATTTTCAGCTGCTGTGCCTATTTACCTTTATTAACCCGATTAACCAGTTTTCCATATTTGTCAAGGAGCAACAGTTGCTGTAAGGAACCTTAACGTACCATAATGTACTTGTTTAGAAAGTGAGAACAAAAACACTCAGTGTAGCTGAACTGTTAAAATTGACATGGGTTAAAGGTGGGGTAGGTAAGTTTGAGAAACCGGCTCGAGATACACTTTTTGTTATATTCCATGGAATGCTCTTTACATCCCGATAGCAATGAATATCTTAAGTGCTTTGACAACAAATCCATAAAAAAATGTCATCTGTGGAAGCCGTAGCGCTGTAAAAAGCACGACCAATCATCTGAGCCGGCCCGGCTAAAATAACTGGATGGCCTACCTGCCTGTCAGCCTTCCATCTGCGCACAAACGTATCTCGTGCCCTCATTGGTCATGTGCGCGTTCGTGTGTGTTGGAGGAGGGGAGGGGTGTATTTTCAAATTCTAGCGCACTCGAGCTTGTTTCTCCAAAATTACCTAGCCCACCTTTAAGTGAACATTTCCAAAATTAGATTTTGAGTTATTAACTTTATTTGTCACAACCATAGGTATTGATAAATGCTAATCAAACTACTAATTGATAATATTCTCAGATATTCAGAGTTTGCCTTAGAGAAATAAAGAGTTTTCCTTTTATTAAGATGCTCTGCTGATGTCACTGACTCACATGTAGAGAATGGCTTTGAAAGACACTGAGTTAAATGACTTTCTGCAAATATTATTTCCCTTTGTCAAGGCCAGGAGTGTGATTGTGATTATAACCATGTTAGATATTTAGCTCACATGGTCTGTTATTCTAGAACAAAAGTTCAGAATAACAGAACTGACACACTGGGAGCACTGGTTGTTTTGTAGGCTTAAAAGAAGCTGATGTGTGTTCTGCTGCTACATGTACTGCCAGGAACAGGGCAACAGGGTATACAACCGGGTTCAAAGGTCAGTGGGGCCCAGGAGTATTTTTTGTCCCCCAGGACTCCGTTCAAGACAGGGAGTATTTCACTTTTCTTTTTAAATCTGAAATGGTATAACCTGCTGGAAACATTCCCTAAGGTTATCTGTTGTTTTTTGTAAAGGTTTGTACGGTGGCCCTGAAGTGCAAGACACCACAGCATTTCCCAAAACACTACAGTATTTCAGAAAACACTACAGCATTTCAGAAAACACAACAGCATTTCAGAAAACACTACAGCATTTCAGAAAACACAACAGCATTTCAGAAAACACTACAGCATTTCAGAAAACACTACAGCATTTCAGAAAACACCACAGCATTTCAGAGAACACTGATTCTATAATTTAGGGTGCATTTCACATCAACAAAACAGTACAAAAAAAAGTGTTCTTTCTCAATAGAACAATCAGTGGTTCAAGTTCCTCAGTGTAACATATCCACTAGTTGCAAAGCTTAAACATTTTTATTTTATTTTTTTATTTTAAGGGAAAGGATGTTTTCACTACTCAGTTTGTCAACTATGTTACGGACAAACTTGATGTCATTACAATCATTTGATTACAGTTTCTCGATTGCTAACACAAATTTATTTTTAAATCGCTCAGTTTCTCAGAACACTAAACACAATTCACAAAACCACACACCCAAAGTGCAAAACACCTAATTTCTCTTGCTAAGTGAATAACTGCACTCAAAACTACATAAACACTTACCAAATGCAAACTTTAGCACCAAATATAACACACTTCATTCATAATACTAGATGGTTTGACCACCCAACTACACCCTGCTGAGCATACTCTAAAGCACTTTCATGTTATGGGCTATGCTTTGTACATAGAGGTTTCTGCAGAGAAAGATTGCTTGACTATACAGAAATACAGTAAATGAAAAAATACAAATGAGTTGTTGAAAAAAATCACATTTTATTCAAAAATCACATTGTGCAACATGCATCTCAGCACATAGTTACTATGCTTTGGATCTCTCTAAGTGTGATGGCATTGTTTGCCAAAACCAAGTTTGTAACTGCTGCTTCCTGTGCCTCATTGAACATCCTTAGCTTTCCACCTGCACCTCTTTTTTTCTCAGTCCTTCAGATAAACAACACAGACATAGTGGATGGTCAGTGTCTGTGTTGCATAAAAGTAAGTCTACCACAGTACATTGTGCAGGATTTTTGTACAGTTATAGTATGCAACATGCCAACAATTCAATTACAGTAATGAAGTAAACACGTTTCACACAACAGATATAAGCACTGATATATCATGAATTATGCAGAGCTAAAAACTGGGAACTAACCTGTT